AGCGTGGGAAATGCGGAGATTAAAAGGCGTAAAAAAAAAAAAGAGAGAGAGAGAGAGAGAGAGTTAGTGAGAGAGAGAGAGAGGACGAAGAAGAAAAAATGGAAAGGAAGAAAGCGAGTGGACGCGCCTGGGGCTTCCCTCTCTCCGGCATCGATGCACCCTCGCGGCTCTGTCCCTTCCCTCCCCGGGCGGCCGTTTTTGCTCCCGACCGCAGCCGCCGGTGGGGAAACATCGACGGCGATCGGAGCCAGTTGCCGATGCAGCGACAGTCCGATCTCCGCGCTTATCGAGCCTCTTAGCCGCGCGCACCACGAGGAGATCTCTTGCACTAGCACGCGATACGGAAGGAGTTGGAAGAGAAATCGGCCTCGATTCTAGGTCAGTGCGCCTTGGGATTGCCAGGCTTTGTGCCCCGTTAAATGGCCAAGAGAGCCTTCGGGGTCACGCGATGCAGGGCCAATTAATTGGCTGTGTAGCGAGTAACCTTTGCGAGTGACGAATAATTCATTACGGCTAGTAGTTGTAGACAGTGCAAGAGTTCGTGGGGTTGCGAGCATTGGTAACTGGATAGTGTAAGGGTTACTCCGACCTAATGCCGACAAACTCATGTATTTTGATGCGCACGTAGAGTCTCGATAGAGAGATGGAAACTTTCCTCCAGTCGTCGCGCCCTCCCAACGTCATCCCCGCAGATGCTTGAAACTCGTTATGCTTTTACAGGCGTGAGACAGGCGTAATTGGCGGGAGCACCCCCGTGAGGCGGAGCAGCTACAACAGCGGTACCAGCAACGGCAACAGCGGCGAAAATGCCGAGCAGCAAGACGCGGGTGGCGATAATTGGCGGCGGCGTGGCCGGTCTCGTCGTCGCGAGGCACGCGACCTCCCGCCCGGAGATCTACAGCGTCAGCCTGTTCGAGCAGACCGGGCAGATCGGCGGCACTTGGGTGTACACCGACGAAACCGAGACGGACAGAAATGGCCTACCCGTGCACAGCAGCATGTACAAGAACCTAAGGTTGGTGGGTGTATGAGCTTTTGATTGGGCAGTCGAAGCCTGCCAAGTGGAAATTGCCAAACGAATTTGGTGGATGGATGCGCTAGCAGAAGGGCCGAGCTAAAGCGGCAAAACCGATGGTTAATGTATTGATAACGTCTTGCTTTAATTGGGATGTAATACATAATTAAGCAGCAGTTATGGATCGCGCTTTTTATCGTTAATTTTACGTTTGCATGCTTAGTATCGGCGGGCATGAGAAGTGAAATGCATATCAATTGGATAATAAGTAAGAATATGTTTACGTATCTTATTGACGTGGACATTAACCTTTGTTGGCCATGCAATTGGTATGTACACTGTTTAGCTATCGACAAGGACACACTTTTTCTTTTCTTTTAGTATTTCTTTTTTTCATCATCTTCATCATCATCATCATCATCATCATCATCATCATCATCATCATCATCATCATCATCATCATCATCATCATCATCATCATCTTCTTCTTCTTCTTCTTCTTCTTCTTCTTCCTCTTCATTTCTCTGTTTTTTCTTTTATGGTTTTTGCATTTTGTGTTTTGTGTTTTGTTCTGTTTTCGCTTCGAATTGCATTCTATCGAGGTAGTGCCAAAACTAAACTTTTTTTATCACAGAACCAATTTGCCGAAGGAAATTATGGAGATTCCGGATTTTCCTTTCAAGGACCGTCAAGGTCCATCCTTCGTTCACCACAGCGTGATTCGACAGTATCTTTTGGACTACTCCAAGCACTTTAATCTTTATCCACATATCAAGGTGAGCAAGCGCGCATACGCCTCTAAATCCTTTTCACATTCATTTTCCTCTAATGCATTTTGTAACTAATTACGCGAGATCTGGTCGTGTTAAGAGCCATAGAATTATATCGAACATAATAAAAATTATATTACATGTTTATCATAAATGGCTCGCTTATAGGTTTATTCTATTTTCAGTGCATTGAGATTAACAGATAAAGTCGAACGATTTGAAATTCACGTGATAGACGTGATCATCCGTAGAGAAGCATAATATCAAATACAAAGTAACAGGCTACAAATACATTTACAAATTAATATTTTCCATTATTGTATTTGAGAACAGTTGCTAAAATTAAAGTACGATATAATTTATTTGAAAAGCAATGATTTTACAATTCATAGAAAAAAAATCAATGTTTATAGTCAGAAATATCATATAGAATTGAGATATACATAATTTAAAATAAAACTCATACAAATATTCTTAAAACCTTTTTCTATTTTAATACTTGCAATATGACGCAACAAAATATATGTATATAAGTGTATATTCACACTATTTAATTCTTAAGTCGCGAGAATCTGTTCTTTTTTCATCTAAATTGCCGATTTACTCACTTATAATATTTCTGATAATATATTGATTAATCACAAAATATAAATTACATTTGTAGCTTTCTTAATGTAAATGAATTTATTATAGGACTATGAGGCATTTTTTGGCAATTTTTTTTTTCAATCGTTAACTATTATTTCGATCATTTCAAATTTCTCGATTACATACATCATACATAATATTGTCTCTTTACCGAACGTACATCGCGTATTATCCGTGTCTATCTTCCAAAATTCTTTAATAGATATTTGAATGGATTATACAATGCCACATCGACTAGTAATTTTTACCAAACATTACTGGTATACTTAGCATATACAAATATATATATATATATATATATATATATATATATTATTTCAAACTTATAAAGTGAAACAATACTGAAAGAATTATCGCGAAGAATTGTTGCAAATACAAATAAATTGAAAAACAGTCGAATCGTCCAAATGATATGCGTCGAGCGTAAAAGTAGAAAATCCAAATAGGCAATGTAATAAAGACACTTTCACCGGCAATAAACTAAAAGTACTACGAAACAGTTGAACACGTTGGTGAATCACGTGGAACCGGAGAAGTTGTCGAACGGTCAGGTGATTTGGTCGGTGACCTACACAGATCTAGCGACACGCGTCCGGACGGTCAAAACCTACGACGCGGTCGTCCTTTGCAACGGCCACTACACCGTCGGCCACGTCCCGCCGATCCCCGGCATCGAGGGTTTTAAAGGCACATCCTTACACAGTCATCAGTACAGGCTGCCCGAGAACTACTCCGGTAAGAATGTGTGCATACTGGGCGCCTCCTGGTCTGGAATTGACATCTGCATCGAGGTTTCCAAGCACGCCAGAAAGGTTTGTTTGTGTACGACGCGAATCAAGAATCCATACTCTGTAAAACTCGTTCAAGCGAATCGCGAATAAAATGCAATTGTAATTTAATTGTTATTCTTTGATGTATTTAAGTATTATCTTGCTTTCGAGTTCATTATCATTAGTTCATGACGAGTGATTGATACGATATTTCAAATACATGCTTATCACTAAGATTATGAATTATATTAACGGCTTTGATTTGAAATCTCCGTCTCTATCTTTTTCATACAAAGTAACTAATAAACTAATTAAGAAATAAATACTTATTTCTTCAATCGCAATTTTCCGTTATGAAGAAATTTTCATCAACATCTAAAATAGAAAAACCAATTATGTGTTTTTTCTTATTTTACTTCATAAATCAGACATTACAATAGAAATAATTTATTTATTATTTCACAAGACAATTAGAAGATAGTTTTAAAATATAAATGTAAAATTTATAATATATATGTATATATATATATATATATATATATATATATATATATTTAACATTTCTTATTGGTTTAATATTTTTTATGCCTAGTATTTTGAATGCTTAGTATTCATTCGGTAAAAACATTTTCAATCAATTTTACTCTTGTATGATATTGGCGGTTTTTTACAAATAAAATTCAACGAATTCATCTATAATAATAATAATCATAATAATAATAATAATAATAATAAGAATAAGAATAAGAATAAGAATAAGAATAATAATGATGATGATGATAATAATAGTAATAACAATAACAATAATAATAATAATAATAATAGATGATGATAACGATAATAACAATGATAATAATGATAATAATAATAAAATTTAATCTTTATATGGATTTTAGATTTATTTAAGTCATAATCTACCAGAACAATTGGACACGAAAATGTTAAAAAACGTGGAACAGAGGTTTGGCATTGATCACATAAATGAGAATTCGTTCATTTTCCGCGATGGATCATCTGCTCAGATCGATGTACTTATCTATTGTACCGGTAATGAATTTTATTTGTAATTTATATTTATTTATTTATCCAAATTAAATAATAAAAATTTATAAAATTTAATAATTGTTATAAATGTCAATAATGAAAAGTGAAAGAACGCGATGAATTGCACAAGGATATTTGTAACTTATGGTGATTTTAAAATAATCAGAATCTGTTTACCTTATTTAAATGGATCTATTAAATATAACGTAAAATAATATTATGTATTAATAATTATGAATAATTACAATTAAGTTTTAATTTTACAATTTACAATATATAAAATAGAATTACAAATTCTAGATTATTGTAAATCAAAGCTTATAAACTTCATAAAAATAACTCTAACTATAGCTAACTCGTTCGTATATAATAAATTAGGTTACAACTTCACCTATCCTTTTCTGTCATCCAAAGTCGAGGTACGTACCGACAACAATCACGTTGAGCCAATTTACAAGCATTTAGTTCATATGGACTGGCCCAATCTCTTCTTTATGGGCTTACCTGCTATCGTTGTACCCTTTCCAATGTTTCACATACAGACACAGTATATTTTAGGATTAATTGAAGGACGCGTTAAGCTTCCGAGCTCAAAACAAATGTACGAAGAGTATGAATTGGAAAAAAAAAGTCTATTGGAGCAAGGAATTGCTGTAAGTTTTATCGATTTTTTCTCTATAATGAAGTTAAGAAAAATCTACAATCCAATTTTACTAAAATTAAATTAGTTAAATTATAAATTAATTGAATAATCATGTAAGAAAAATGATAGGTGCTTTTATATGCCAATATATAAAAACATTAATTAATAGATTCAATAATTAGCTGCTTAAAAGTAAAGGTTTTTTTCTTTTTTTTTCCTTTTTAATTTAATAATGATATTCTGCACAATTTGGCATCGAATACAATAATTCTTATATAAGAGAGATTAATTAAGATGGTTAGATTGAATATGTTTGGAAATAAGAATTTTTTTGTATTTACACTTGTAATTAAAAACCGTTATACCGTTGCTATTTAATTTTTAGCATTTTCCTTAAAATATGTATTGAATTTTAAATCATAAGTATGTAAGAAATCTAAAGACAATATTTTTGTTTTATGAACAACAAAATTTTAGGCACAAATATGATATAATTAATAATTTAAATTTAAAGTAATTATAGATGTTCTTCGGTTACGTGAAAAAAAAAAAGGAAAGAAACGTATATATGGGTTTGTGTTTCTCAATAATCATTAGCTATTTAGTTTAATTTAGTTACGAAAGGAATGGATGATTAATAAATTTCAACCATAATTAGAACCATAAATATTTCAACATTTTTATCATATGCTTGAATAACATATACGAATAAATCGTCATAATATTAATTAATAATTTGTTTTATGCAAATTTTATAGTATATCATCAGAAACAATAAATAATAAAAAATAAATCATTTCAAGGGATATATTAGTATATAGATTTAATCGGTATTTTATATTGAGTATTATATTTTTTATCTCACACATCGACTCGGATGGTCTGCGACGACAACAACAAAACAACAAAACAACAACAACAACGACGACGACGACGACGACGACGACGACGACGACGACGACGACGACGACGACAACAATAACAATAACAAAAATATTAGAATAATTTAAACGTTTATGCGCACTTTTCAATTAATAGAAACAAAAGAAACTATTCTCAATCATCTTGTCAATGAATCAAGTTTTTAAAATTGTCCATCTATCCGTCTACAACCTTTAGCCTCACTGTTTACATTATTGACAAGCCGGTTTCATATAATACTAGAGCCTTAAAACATACGTACCAAAAAATAAATAAATGCCCATAATGAAAGTTTTTAAAAACCGTGTAAAATATCGCTTACATCACGCTCAGTCGCTTATTTTCACAGATAAGACACATCAACAAAATGTCCGACCGACAGTGGGCGTATTACGATGACATTGCCAAAGCGGCCAATATCGTGGGCTTTCCACCGGTTGTCAAGATGATCTACGATTATTGCTGTAAAATGCGCGAGGAAGACTTCACCACGTACAAGAATTATCAATTTCGAATTATCGATCGCGAGAATTTCACAGTCTCTTGCTGCAAGCCACGTTAGACTTCGCAATTGATGACTTTCATTACAGTGATCGATCGGTGTATAAAGAGATTTTAATGTGTTGTAGAGTGAGATGAAATTTCTTTAGGAAATATTATTGGGCTGAGCATGAGATGATGCATGCACGACTAAAGAGCTCGAGAGTCAAATATTTGTTTTTTGGCATTGCCGATTCAATTGGCTTAATTTAATTTTTTTTTCTTCCTTTCTTAAGATACTTCAAGGGTTCACTACGTTTCCATGCACAAATGTTATGCCAATTAAGACAATGGGGGAAAAACTTAGTACACTGTCTTTCATTTTTATTACGGGCGATGAAAATATTATATAATGTTGAATTGAAGGGAACTTGGAAAAATTGATATTTACTCGTTTTTTTTTTTTTTTTTTACTAAGAGATAAATGACAATTAATGTAAAATTCCATGATAAAATATGATACGATGAAATAAAAAGAGAAGCTGTACAATTGCTTTTCATAGAATTTTTCTGTAAATATTTTTGCTTATAAATATGATTTAATACCTTTTGTTCGTTACGTCAAACAATAAAATTATTTTATTAGATCAGAAAATTTCTTAATTCAAACAAATATTCGAATAGAAGTACTGAATACTCGATAAACTATTCTTCACTTTGCCATATACACAAAGTTTCAACAAAGAAGATTTAATGAATAAATAACATTGATAAGTACTGAATGTTCGGAACTTTTTCATAATACGTCTATCTTGAAGAAGTGATCTATAAATTTGAACAAACGATTGCTCGAAATAAAACGTATATTATACAACTCAATCGCAGTCCAACGATTTATACCGCAAATTGCAAAACCGATGCATTTACAAATTGTTTTGTAAAAATTAAATTGTAACTTATGGATGACTATTTCGTACAGGATGAATCAAGTTTATAAATTGATTAATTATGTAGGCACAAAAGATACTTAAAAAATATACAATTTTCAATGATTGCACTGCACAATAGAAGAGAAACAATTGTTTTTAGCTTAATGAGTGTCAAATAAATGTTATAACAAAAGTGTAAACAAGTTATTATAATAATGAATGAAATAAAATTAAAAAAACAATATTTTTATTTATAACGAGATCATCTATTTACAAACAGTTATTTAGCATATTTTAAATATTAAGTCATAAGGATTAATTATAATTTACAATAAGTTAATTTTTATGTTGAACTAGCTTATGAGCATAAGGTAGGTGAAATTATTAGCCTTGCGTTTAATTAATTTTCCATCATAATATGCATTACATGAAATTTTCATGTATAATATGTAATTCGTATTAATATAACAATGAATATTTTTATAAAATAAACTATTAACGATAAAATGTTTATTCGTTAAAAATTCTTTATATATTAACGCAATTACTTAATGCCTCGTAATAGCCTAAAATATTAAAATCATTTGTCAATTTCTTTATTGCTTTTTCTAATTTATAATGCTACAAGTAGGTTTATTATTTCATAATATAATAATGATATTATATTTAAATTAATATATTTACTATATTGAAACGTCTGCGCTTTTATCGATAGAGTCAAATGTAGGCACACACCTGCATACTACACACGCGCGCACGCAAATATATGCGAATGCATATATATATATATATATATATATATATATATATATATATATATCAATACATGTTGAATTATGTGGCATACAGAGCAAAAATGATTCGAAAAGATAACGAAAAAGAGTAAGAAGAGATAGAATAATCATCTGTATATGACTTATGCGAATGAATCAGTCAAGTAAACGCGCAGTATCGTTTTTCCTTAATGAAATATTATTTTCAATGCACTTTAATTCTTGGACAAATTTAAATCAATTCTCTATCGTGCAATCCCATACAATAAACACGTCTTTATCGATGAAATAGTTCTCTCATAAGTACGCATAGATTTTCCATTTGACAAACTATGCTTTCTTCTTCTTTACAGCTGCCCACAAATACCCATAACTCTTGGTAATATTGACATTGGTGTTGACGTTCGTGTAACGTATAACCTATTTTCGCCCGATTTGTTTTTTCCCCTTTTGTTTACACATTGCGCAATAGAAAGCTCGTAAGCGATTTTCTGGAGGGGTTTTCCCTCCTGCCTTTTCAAATAGATAGCGAGACGCAAGTTTGCAATAAGTTTGTTGTAGAGGAAGTTTATTAAGATTATTAAGCTGAAATGAAGAAAAAGGTAAGAATTGTGCTTTATTTTGGAATTTGTAACACTAGGAGAGAAAAAGAGAAACAACATTCCTTCAACACATCCATTATCGATATTCAATGACGAATAATTCATTTTAATCGTTAATTAATATTTCATGGTTCGGGAAAGACCAGCATGCGAAGTATTATTTTTGCTAATTATATTGCAAGGGACACTCGCAGATTGGGAGCAACGAGTAAGATGATTTACATTATTTTATTGTACTTATTATTTCTGAGCTTTTTCAATGTTTATGTTGTGTAAGATAACGTTGTATTTATGGTGGCTTATCGAAATGTGGCAACATTATTATAGTTTGGTAATAAAGCAGATGAAGGAGTAAATTGAATTGCGTAATAATAAAATTTTGCTTTTACTAACGTTCGCCTTAGTAATTATTAAATGAAACATCTTTATACCAAATCTCATATTGTATTTACTTTTGTAGTCGATGTAGAGCACAGCCACGTTCGTTTCCTGGGAAATTTGGTCCTTAATCTTTGGGACTGCGGAGGCCAAGAAGCTTTTATGGAGAACTACTTTGCATCGCAGAGAGATAATATTTTTCGAAATGTCGAAGTACTAATATATGTGTTTGATGTTGAATCGCGAGAATTGGATAAAGATATGCATTATTATCAAAGTTGTCTGGAGGCCATACTACAAAACAGTCCCGATGCAAAAGTATTTTGCCTAATTCACAAAATGGATCTCGTTCAAGAAGATCAGAGAGATTCTATATTTAGAGAAAGAGAAGAGGATTTAAGGAGACTGAGCTTGCCATTACAGTGCACATGCTTTCGAACAAGTATATGGGATGAAACTTTATACAGGTACGATTGAATAAGTTAAAAAATTAATGGATTAATTTGTGTAAGAATTTTATGAATAATTAATGACGAGTAAGCGTATGCATAATTTATGCAGAGCATGGTCTTCCATAGTATATATGTTAATTCCCAATGTCAAAGAGCTCGAGCAGAGCTTAAATCAATTTGCCAATATTATCGATGCCGATGAAGTCCTATTATTTGAACGCGCAACGTTCCTTGTTATCAGTCATTGCCAAAGACGACATCATCGAGATGTACATCGTTTCGAAAAAGTATCAAATATTATTAAGCAATTCAAACTGAGCTGCAGGTTAGTGTTTTCACGAGGCTGTAAGGAACGTCAATATTAATTATTAATTATTGTTACATTTGCAGTAAATTAGCCGCTCAATTTTCAAGTATGGAAGTGCGGAATACTAATTTTGCTGCTTTCATCGATGTTTTTACATCAAACACATACGTTATGGTCGTAGTGTCCGATCCCGCCATCCGTAAGTATACTTCTGAATGGTCATTTAATTATATTCCAATTGTGTATGCCATAGGTATAATAAATTATCAGTACTCTTTTTTATGTTAAAATATTTCAGAATTAAAGCATTTTATATAGCTATTAATTTTCCTGAAACACTCTAAATAATGAATTATGAAATTATGATATTTATTCTGAATTGTTAATTTGTATATCAATTACTCAATTATGAGTTTCAAACTTCTGTTTAGCATCCGCTGCAACATTGATCAATATTCGTAATGCTCGTAAACACTTTGAGAAGCTTGAACGTGTAAGTCAGAGCTCATCTTTAAGTAGATAGAAGTTGGTACGGCCAAGGCGAGACCGAAAAGTTCGTCGCTAACAGTTAAGTTATTTTCATAAGGAAATACGAGCGAATAAGGTGTCTTCGTCGCTTATGGTCTTATAAATGATGTAATCTTTAAAAGGTGTATCGTATTGAGTGAATTGAGTGAATTTTACACGATGAATGAATGAACATTGGAACGTTGATTCACAGTGTAACCTTCGAAACAGATAGTATACATATATATATATATATATATATATATTATAATATGGTACATGACTCTATTCAATAAGATGAGCATCGTTCTTTTTCCATTTGTCAAATTGATGCAATACTGTTTTAAAGTTTTTTTTAAACCATCAGTGACAATTTTTTTATTTTTTATCTTTTTTTTTTTTTTCTCAATGTTTTTTTTATCATCAGCATAGAATTTAGATGAAATTCGTATTAAACGATATTTTACGCCCAAAAATGTTGAAGTCAAATAATCATATTTTTGTTAAACTATTACTACAAAAGAAATTTATCTTATATATAAGGTTTTCCGATGTGGAATACTAAACTATCTAATAGTTCTTAAGAAAATACCATGTCATATCGGGTACGTTCTAAATTACATCTAAGTTTACCATACTTATGCATTGTTTTTAACTGTTAATATCTAAAATTCATCATTTCACTTTTAAAGCAAATTATTTCTTTCTTTTATTTATTTTGAAGTGGCAGTAACGACAGCGTGCTTAATTGTTGTTTACAATATTTAAATGAAAATCTTTTATTACTTTTAAATAAAGAAGCAAATTTACGTCAAAAATTTAATGTAAAATTTCTTCGCTGTAAGTTTTGTTTTAAAAAAGAGATTTAATTTTAAATTTGCAAGATCGTTAATAACAATTTCTTAATTATTATACTGTAAAAATTAAAAATTAAATTAACTATCTCAAAGTAGGGTTAGGATATATTTTTAATCGATGTATGTACAACAATAATAAAAATTTGTAAAGATTATTCTTAACTGTAACCTAGCGTGTCTTATTATATAAAATATTTGATACATTATATCCATTATTGTACTCTACATTAAATACATTATTCGAAAAATATTGCCCTTTAAATTATTATTAAAAAAAAAAAAAAAAAAAAAAAAAAAAAAAAAAAAATATTTACCTATTTATATTGTAAGAATGAAACTGCAACTCCACCCTTAGAAAGTTATCTACGTGCTTAATAATGGAAAATGAAAATATCTTCAAAACTTAAAATACTGTAAATATCAAGGATACTTTATTATAAGACTATTTCATTTCTATTTTCTATTCGAACGTCCCGCGCGACCGTCGATTTTTTATTTACACTCAACAGCTGATTGGATAATTCTATCGCCGATCATGTAATTCTTAGTATTATTATTTAGGATAGAGCAAGCTATGGAAAATTTTTATGGTATGTATTTATTGGAAACTGTGTCATGCTGTAGCGATCGAATAGGAAAAGTCACGTCTTGGAAATATGGATAGAATATTGAAGGGCGTAATGAAATATAGAAAATGCCATAGGGATGGGATGGTAAAGCAATTTAAGCAAGTGAAAGATAATCCCGAGGTAATGTCAATATTCGATAATATTATATAAATAAAGTTATATATAATGTGTTATATATTTATTGAGTTACGTAAAGCAATCAATTACAAAATAATAGCAGCAGTCGTCTTAATTATTATATTTTTCTTTCCTAGCCTAAAGCGGTCTTTTTTACATGCATGGACTCTAGAATGATTCCAACAAGATTTACAGAAACTAATGTCGGAGATATGTTTGTTGGTATGAGAAATACTTGCATGAACATAATTACGTTCGCATCATTTCATATTTCGTTATAATTTCATTCTAGCATTCCGAGTGTCAGATAAAGTAAATATTTATTCCTTTGCATCATGATCCTACATATAAGATCCTTACAGGTTCGCTTCATACAAAATCCTACATTTTCAACACTTTAGGTATTGCCACGGGTACATTCTTTATTGATACATTTTATTGCTTTCAGTGAGAAATGCCGGTAATATAGTGCCACACTCTCAACATTTTATCGACGAATTAACGATGTGCGAACCAGCTGCTTTGGAATTGGGTTGTGTCGTCAACGACATTAGGCACATAATCGTTTGTGGTCACAGCGATTGTAAAGCTATGAATTTACTGTATGCTTTGCGAGACGAAGAATTTGCATCTCAAGTAAGAATCCTTGTATAGTTTCGACCATATACGCAGAATCATTTTCAAACAATGTGTCTGTTATTTATTTACTCGTAAATTATTTGTTGACTCGCAAGGTTATAGGATCGATAAATGTGATGTTATTAAGATTAATGTTTCTCTTAAATAATCGATCGATCAGAATTATTTATGATTAATTGCACGTGGAGTATAATGCACGTATTTCAAATACTTTCTCATTCCGAGCTAATATTTACATATTTTAAAGGTCTTTTTAAAAATATGATCTCTATCGATAATTAAGATTCATGGTAGGTTAACTCACACTAAGATAAGGAACAAAGATTAAACGCAGTTGAACATTGGAACGGGTAAAATATTTATAAATATATAGAAATTTATTTATCCAATTAAATATTGACAGACCCGAGCGGTAGTGAAATTTTTTATTACATTATTGAAAATCAAAGTCTCTTCCAAATTAGTATCATCGGATCTAGTTGAATTGACAATGGGAAAATTCAAGCGTTTGAATTGTAATGAAAAAACTAAAGGCGCGTCTATCGATTATATATTTACCTTCGTATTCCTACGAATGCTGTCTACCTCAAAATTGACACAGTAACACCTTGAGTTTGGCATTACAAATTGTACAACTGCAGAATAATAAAATGTCAGTATACACTTTACATCTCTCGATTTTGGAAATTTAAATAATTTCAAAAGCCAGGTTTAGAAACCATATTTAAGCAAAGAACATAACTTTACAAATATATTCATGCATTATTATTCTTTGCAATAATTATCGATTAATAGGCGCACGATAACAATAATAAGCATTATATCGGTGGATGTATTTATATTTGCTTAACTTTACCTAACATTGATTTATTTACGACATAAATTCATAAACTCGAGTAAGCACACTGTCTTTAGGAGGAGGAGGAGGAGGAGGAGGAGGAGGAGTGCACGGATTGGCAAAAATAAATTTAAATGTTAGTAAACGAAAGAGTGAGTATAATAATAGAGATTAATAAAGAGAAAATCCAATCTCCAAAACGAAAGTTTCGCAAGCTCATTAAAGTAATGCACCACGTGACTGACTGTTCAGGTAAATAGAAGAATATCGCCGTTGAGGGCTTGGCTGTGTGCACATGCCAGCAGTAGCCTTGCCAAGTTTCAGCAGCTCGAGATCACTGGATTTCGCGAGCCCCTTCTCTTCCAAGCGGAAACACCGCTCCGCAAATTCGTGGCCTACATTGACCCGGACAATAAGTTCGCCATCGAGGATAAGCTGTCGCAGATCAACACCTTGCAGCAAATGCAGAATATCGCATCCTATGGCTTTTTGAAACGCCGCCTCGAGACCCACGATCTCCACGTGCATGCACTTTGGTTCGACATCTACACTGGGGATATTTACTATTTTAGCCGTGCGAGCAAGTGCTTTGTGGAGATAAACGAGATGAGATAAACGTGATGATGGAGACGACGCTCTTAAGGGAAATAAAGAAATACTATTCTTAAAGTGCGTACGCGTGTTACTAATGGATAAAATAGTAGATGAATGAATAAGAGGATTGTGGAGGGAGCTAACACTATTATTGGTAATCGGCATGTAATATTGTTATTTCTATGGATATTATAGTGGTTTTTTTAAGAGAGAGAGAGAGAGAGAGAGAGAGAGAGAGAGAGAGCACTCGGGGTAGTAATGCCGATTGGAGGTAATTAATTCATTAGTCCTCGTCAATAATATGACGGACAAACGTTTATGTCCTATTGCAAGACATACGTCATTCGTGTTAATCGAAATTGTCAAGGATTAATCGCCTTAAGTGCCTAGAAAAGCATACGAGTGTACCTTGTAAATTGATTTCAATCGATAGGATATTCCAGTGACGTATGTAGCACGATTATCAAAACAATTACATCCACGACATTACATTGTATTGTATATCGTTTGATATTCTCTTAGTCTCGAGCATTCCATTTTTTGTACCTTCTATACTTTGTTGCTCCGTTGTCCAGATTATATATTAATTTTTAATTGTATGAGCTTATATTAGTCTTAACATATTCATTATAAAATATTTATATGACAAGAATGTTAAAATAAGCGAGTAGAAACGAAACGAATGTTGTAAAATTATAATTAGAGGGCATGTATATTTTCAAGTTATCCGTGATAATTACGAATGAATTGTTTAGCAAAATACCACTAGTTTCTTCTTCGTTAAAGAAATCTTTTGAATAATAGATGAATAATGGTCAGCAGTTGTGAAATATGAATGACGTCATGAAAGTAGCACAATCCTAACAAAATTTGTTAAACGCAATTGTACTCGATTTTTTGCTTTAATCAATATGAAAATGGAAATACACAAAGTATATGTGTTCGATACACAGTGGCTCTAACAAATCAATGGAACAATTATATGTACAACTATAAATAAAGAAAACATGTATGCTTATATTTTTATTTGTACTTATATTCAGAAATATATTGTCTATTTTTTCATAAAAATTGGATTTTATTAAATGATTATAGACTAATTATAGATACATGTATTAAATATATTTTATTAAACGTACAATTCACATTTTTCTCGCACAAAATTTCAAATTAGTTAATTTTAATCATTCATTTATTTATTTCATACGCTACATAAAAGATGCAATAGAATATAAATTGCTTATATTACATTTATCGTCAGTTACTCATTGTATTTACAGTTATTATTTTTTTTAAATAATAATCTAGTTCCTAATCAACTCTTTAATTCATTTATTTTGATAAATACAAAAGTACAAATTCCTTTTTGATAATATTCCAATATTCTGAATAACAATAGTATTTCAAATATTATTTAAATTATTTATAATATATTTTTTTTTCTTTATAATTCTACACATTATTTCAACGTATATTCATAATTAAAATTGTAACAATGATTTAGTCATCCAATCGTTGTGAATGAATTTCTATTAATTTAATCGAATAGCTAATATTTTCGCCCGTTCGTAGTAATGTTTCTTTACAAAAAAAAAAAAAAAAAAAAAAAAAAAAAAAAAAAAAAAAAACCGATAATTATGCTCGTGTGTATTTACTACAAATTTTATATAGTTATCACATATAAAAATAAACGACACAATATATATATATAAATTTATTAAATAGCGATGACTTTAATATTTCAAAATGATATTATAATATTTGAGTTAATTAAAACATACCAGGCTTAATACGATAACGATATTTCATATTTCAAGTTTGACACTTTGAAATCTAAAACAAACTAGCAGCAGCATTAATATTATTATAAACGAAATGGAGAAAATTCGAATGGCAATTACGCAATAGTTGCTAAAATAGAATCATTTTATAATTTAAATGCGAGTACTTTGCGTAATATATTTTCAGCGACAATGTTTTAATTTTAAATGAGAAAGTTGTCGTTACTAGCAAGGGGAAATTGGTATTTTGTGCAAAACCAAACAAAAAAAAAAAAAAAAAAAAAAAAAAAAAAAAAAAAAAAAAAAAAAATTATGAACGTCTTTTATAAATATGTCATTTTACCGTTTTGAATTGCGAGGTCTTATTTGAAATATTACCAGATATTGTACTCCACGGGATATATGACGTATACAAAACCGGAATAAATTTCTCGGAATGACTACAATTGATCTGCTTTATTCTGAATTTTCATTGCATCTCTTTTATCTGGACTCTACTAAAGCCGATTACGAAGACGATTATACGTATGATATGACAATTGTGAATTTCGTATTTTATTATTCTCACTTTTAAAGAAACGATATAAAAATTAACTTCATGTTTACGGAGCGAATAGCTTGTAAAAGAGAATTTTGTATTTAATTAGGCATGGCAAATTGTGATACAGAGTTGTTTAATAATTTTAATAATACACTTGCCGGAACTTAGTATAAAATTTATTAAACGAGAAATCAATCATACATAATTGCACAATACAATTGCAAATTACTGTTTCTCATCAATTATTAAGGCATTTTTTTAACAATGATCTCGTCATAGCATTAAAATTGTACGTAGGAAAATTCATTATTACGAAGATCGATCGTTCACAAAAAGAAATAAAACGTAAATTCGAGAGTGCAATCTCCGTATGGCGACGACGACCATTGTTTTTTCGTAGTCGCGAGCATACCGAATTACGAATGAATTACGGTAACGTTCGCGGTGCTGCTTGAGGGACTGGTTGGGGAGGAGGAGGAGGAGGAGGAGGAGGTGGGGGCGTCGGAGGGGTGCGGCGGCTTTAAAAGAAAGAAGATATAAAATGAAGACACGACACCGGGGAAGGGGAAGTGGAGAGAAAAATAGATGCGGTCTCGCGAGCTCGTTAAATACGGCGCGCAGCGGTGAACTAGAGCATGCCTATGCACTCGCCTGAAAGAGAAAGCAAAAGCAAAACAACGCGGACACCGCGAGCAATAAGCCGTTTCATCCTCGCCGAATAGCATCGCGGGCACTCTCTTTCTCTTTCTCGAGAGCGCCTGGCGAGCGAGTGCCGCACGTCAACGCGACCGCCAAATTCCAAAAGCCCCAACATTTTGTTCGCCTCGCTCTTTTGCCTCTCAATATAGGAGTCCTGACTAGCGCGATTTTTCAGAGGAGCACCGAGATAGATGCCGTTCGGGCACCACTAATTTCCTCACCCACGAGGGTATTTACAAACGTGCGTTTGGGTGCTCATGGGAAAGTGACGATGAAACTTATGATGATCTAGCTGATATAGCAGAGCAGTCGTATTTAGTAGGGCAGCTAACTGAATAGTTTTCGTTCATTTTCTAGGGCATTGCGTTCGAATGGCTTCTCCGACTGATATTACGATGACAAGACACTTGCCCTTGACGATCCAGTCAAACTTTTTATACAATTCTATACAATTCATTCGTTTAACTTCACGTTTTGTTAGTTAATATGCTTATTTGTGTTAATGGTGTCATTTGCTGGGAGATTCTTTTGATACTTAATATTGCCGACATTAGGTTGCTATTCTTATCTCTCGAAGAAAATCATTGGATTCAACCAATGTTTACCTACTACTACTACTACTACTAATAATAATAATAATAATAATAATAATAATAATAATAATAATAATAATAACATCAATAGTACAATTGCTGCTACTACTACCACTACTACTATTACTATAATATACTCGGGGCTGACGAGAAATTTGTATTTAGTATTATTTTGCACATCCAACAGAATTTAAATACTGTACAACCATAGTAGCAAACCTGTTTTTAATTAGTCATCGAAGAGAACGAATTACTCGAGTATTTTCTTTGTAAGAAAGACTTTCAATAATTAAATATACAACTTTTGAGAAACTGAAAATAATTTCTGATAATCAAAATTTATCTTCTTAACATAACACTCTGTTTATGAAATGCTGTGGATTTTTTAAAATTATCATGTACTTGGTGATATCGACATTACGATAAATCAATTACATTCGTATTTATATAATAATAGTTTATATTTTTGTTTTTTGCAGCGAATATTTTATTATAAAATCTAGGAAAATGTTGTACGCGTGGTATATATTACATTATAATTATCCTTAATAATTCATTATAAATGACAAATAGATAATAAGTAGGTGAACGTTTCACAAATAATTCCAATTGCTTTACAAAATCACATTTATAACTATGCAATAAATAAAATTATTACTTTCAATATAAAATAACTCGATATGAGAATGTAATTTAATTAAGATGTCGATTAAAATGAGCGTATGTGCCTAGCAATTAGATAAGTAAATATTTTTAAGCGGTAATCGAGTGCTTTTGGATAACCGTATATAAATATATACAGTCATCTGCAAATAGAGTGAAAAGAATTTTATTTATAAATTGAAAAATAAACAAAAATAATTCTCAAATATATGTATGATAATTCGTAATATTTATCTGAAAGTCAGATTAAATGTTTAATTAACACATGGAACGAAAGCATTAGTTTGTTACGAATTTAAAAAATAATACGCGCGCGTCATATAATATCCGATTCATTAATTCAAGATTATTGAAATTGGTTTAACTTTTTAATTATCAACAGATTTTTATCTTAATACTAAATATATTTTAAAATTAGATAAACGAAGACTCGAAACACTAATAATCATTGTTGTTAGATTTTTTTATCGTATCGTCGACGCAATAGTTCTTCGGTTAAATTTCGTTATATTATATAAAAACATATTATTCTCCATAAGGTGTATTGTAATTTCAATAAAAATGAAATAGAGTGAAAAATATTCTTATAAAGACATTTTAATTACGAGAAACACTCACTCAAATATATAATATTTATTTCCAAACTTTTTCCAACAATTACCGTCTATTTTACTTGCATATCAATTTTTCTAAACTAACGTTCGTTAACCTTCATTAAGTCATATAAAAATCAATCGCCATCGGATAATTGTGGAACATTTTAATGCTTATCGATGTTGTTTATCAAGTACGCGAAATTACCTACGAGATATAAGAACAATTTGTTTCATAATGTAGTTAAAAATAGGTAAAAGTCGAGCATCTCGTATATTCGTCGAGCGAATTATAGAATCCGATCTCATCACAGTGAGTAGTACAGATCGGTAAATTAAAGAGAATTAGCATAATAACAATAATAATAATAATAATAATAATAATAATAATAATAATAATA